ATAACAAGCAGCACTTACAGCAGAGTGGTCAGGTTGTCAGAGAGACATCTCCCTCTTGGCCCTCACCGACTTTGCCAGGACACAAAGCAATGCTTCACCTGGCAGCCCACAGAGATACCTGGCAACAGCCCATGCTATATTCCTTTGAGAATTTGCAAACACAGGACGAGCCAAGAACACCCACGTGTGCTCGTTCCTTTAACACTGTTGTCTTTTTCACCCTGTTCTAGTTTGGGAGTCGTGGCACTTGGGAGGGAAAACGACGTGAAATGAGGGATGCAGCGCTGTGGAGGGTGGAGGCCACCAATCTTTAGTCACTCATGTTGAAACTTTGTTTGCATGGAGATGCAGGCCGGAACATTGTGCAGTCTCGGCTCCCCTCGGCACCGAACATACACTCCTCTTCTCTGCACAGACGAGTAAACGGGGGGGCCTGCCTCACACATCCAGGCATTCTGGACATACCACAGGGCTTCTGGAGGGTTGGCCCATTCACACACACACGTGCAAACACACACCGAAAGAGGGCAGAGCACTGCACATGTGGCTCTGTCAGCATGTGCAGGTTCTGCCAACTTCTGAGGTAATCGTGCATAAAAAGAGATAAAGTCATTCTGAACGTCCTTTAAACTGCAGCTAAAACAAAATGACACGTGTTAGGATGAATACATAATTAAAGGGCAGCCATTTTTTCATGCAGTGCCTGTCACCTTTCATGCCGAAGCTTTAAAGTAAGGTCATCAGTTGTCGATCAGTCACTTGTTACTTTGTGAGAGTTTCACTGAAATCCGTCTAGTCATGAGATATTTTGCTAACAGACAAACAAGGTAAATTTCAATAATTAATGCCAATGTTTCAAGCAATGTACTGGCTCAAGGTTGGTGTTTAGGACGATGCTCACCTACTACCACACCAACCTTTAGCTCAGTTTCTGTGAAATTAGTTGTGTTTTAGTTTCTAAAACTATTAGCTGTGGCAGCCATCTTGAATTAAGTGGGCTGTAAAAGTTGATCAGTTGTACATGAACAGCCACTAAAAGTTGTATTAAAATCCATCCGGTGGTTGATGAGCTATTTTGCTAACACAGAGCGGACACTTATTGTTGAATGGCAGTTTTGGACACAGATCCCATAAGATTAGTTAGTGCACAAAGTGCACGTCAGGGATCACTCTCAGCTACTACCACACCAACTTTTAGATCAACATCTGCTAAATTAATCGACCTTTAGCCCTTTTTGTGCTTGCAAAGATTACTTTGCTGTAGCGGCCACTTTACATGGCGTGGACTCCACAATGTAATCAGCTATAGATGCCATCCCACTGATTACTTGCGGATAGCTTCATTAAAATCAATTGAATAATTCACGAGATATTTTGCTAACAGACAGACAAATAAAGATGCACACACAGACGGGAAAAAAGTCACTCCACCTTCACGCTTGGCAGGAGATAATAGTGTGCAAGCGAAGCCACACGTGAAGAGTTGAATTGTGGGTCGAATGGTATTTTTAAAAGCAACAAAAAGGAGGTGCTTAGAAAAGATTAGCGAGCAGCAGCATGCGCTCTCGTGATGATTAAACCGGATGTGTTTATGTTTTATTGGTAGAAGTTGAATTGAGTGTGTTTCTGGACTCAAATGAAGAGGCAACGCAGCTTTCATTCCTGTTTCTTGGACTGGAACAACAGTCTTCAGCTGAATCCAAATCAAGGCGGGAAGAGAAGGCGGGGGAGGAAGGAGCAGGCCTCTGGTGACGTGCACGGGCGGTGTTCGGAGGGGGGAGACATGCGCGCGGACTGAGCCACATCTGGAATAGTAACTACACAGAAGGAGTCCAGAGGAGCAGCAGACGCGCCGTGGTTCTCTCCAGACTCTCCACTTCTTTTTTTACCACTCTGACACTTTTTTTTTTTTTTGCTTTTTGTAAGTTGGACGCGTGAGCTGGACTTTCTTTCTTTTTCTGGTCGGTCATTTGTTGTTTTCGTTGACCTTTCAGGACCGTGCGTGTTGGGATTTAGAGCTGTGGATTTGTTTTATTGACGAGAAAACTAAAGCTAAGTCGAAGCTGCGGAGTCTCCCAGTCCGTGTGTGGTTTGGGGTTGTTAAAACGAACCAGTGACGGCGGAGTTTTACGCACGACGGCGCGTTCGCTGGAATGTTGTTCCTCGCAGATGGGCTGAGCCTCCTTTCCAGCAAAGACTAGTCATGATTCAATATGCATTTACTTCATTTGGCTATTATCTCCAAACTTTTTTCTAAAGCTTTATTTTTCTTTAAGCTACACAAACAAGTATGTTTCATATTTTACATTTAAACTTTTTTTTAAAGCTCAGCATCACGACTTGGCGGGATAGTGTGTTTAAAATAATTACTACAGCTTTACTTGTAACTCATTGTTGATCTTTTTTTTTTTTTGTTGTTGTTGTTTTTACTGAAAGAACAAGAAAGTTGAGTTGCTTCTTTCTTTTTCTTTCTTGTAATGAGACACTTTCACGTTCAAGTAAACATTGCGGTTGGTGCAGAAATGAGGAAACAGCGCCATCTGGCGTTCAGACACGGCAGTGCAACCAAACCGAACCGTCTTGAAGCTGATTTCATATGAATTTCTTTTTCTTTATTCTTCTTTCTAGAGCTTCGAAAATGCTGTTCATTCTGCTCGGAGTGCTCGTCTTGCACCTAATCATCCTTATTCTCCTTATTGTGTCTACAGCGGCCAGTGTAAGTAGCTTTACCTCCTTTAAATTACCTTAAAGTTGTGGAGAAATCCTGTATGGGAAAAGGGATGCGTTGTAAAGAAGCTATATCAGTCTTAAGCTGCTCTTTTTAGTGATCGCTATCTGTTTGTTCCTGCACTTTGAATGGATGCAGTTGGTTTAAATCCCTGTGCTTTGCTGTGTTTTTGTCTTTAGACCTGGTCTGTAAGTGAGATGAGTAGCACTAATCTTTGGTACAACTGCTTGACGACCCCTCAAGGCTACCACTGCAAGCCAGCCAGCAGCGATGGTTTGTCTTCAATCCAGGAAAAGAAAAGTGGAAAAGTTTTGAATGAGCTTAAATGTTTAAACTTGTCTTTTTCTTTCTTTCTTTCTTATAGATTGGATCCAGGCAGTGCAAGCCCTTATGATCCTCTCAGTCCTCTTCTGCTTTTGCTCCCTCATTGCCTTCTTGTATCAGCTGTTCAGACTGGTGAAGGGCGGACGCTTCTTCTTCACCGCCATCTTCCAGATCTTGGCGAGTGAGTATGACTTCACTGAGGGGAGATGGGGGGGGGGTCACGCCCTAAGGGGAGTAGGGTCGTGCTATGAGATCATCTACTCTCGTTGTCATCCCTCTCTTTAGGTGTGTTTGTGATGTGCGGGGGGATCATCTACACCGTGATGAACCCGGACAGCAGTGCACAGTTCGGCTACGCCTACATTCTGGCCTGGGCGGCGTTCCCTCTGACTCTCATCAGCGGGCTCATTTATATCGTTCTGAGGAAGAAGGAATGAGAGCAGGAGCAGGGGAGGAAAGAGGAGGGGGGCATCGGGAGGCCCCTTACCACAACATCGCACTGTGCCTACTGCACCCACAGACCATGGACTGACATCTCAGCAGTTTCCATTTGTTTCCCAGAACAATCACACTAATTAGTTTTTTTTTTTTTAAATCCACAGTTGATTTCCTTTGAAACCTGGTTCCATTTTTATAGGTTTTAGGAGTTTGGGGGGACATCTCGACTCCCCAATACTCTACAAAACCATACAGTGTGATACGATAAAAAACCCTGCCTCACTTCGGTATGAAGATGTACATAGTGTCTGTGGTTTTTAGTCATATTTATAACAGTTTTTACCTACAATGTGTACATAGTGTTGTCAAGTTAACATGCTCATTTGCGTGAAAGTTTGTCTCTCACCAGTCATGCAGCTGTACCAAAGAGATGTCGCTTCATCTGCCAGAGTATCAAGCTTCTCCTCTTTTCTTTGCCTTTTTTAAATGTCTAATGCCTTTAACAATGTGCCTTATTTAGTTCATGTGTTTGAGTGTAAAGAAATCAGAAAAAAAAGTTACAAAAACTCTTGGAGTTTTTTTTTTGTTTTAATGTACTTGATATTTCAACTAAAATTGTTTTGAATTTTGTATTGCTGAAAATGGTGCTTTTTTAAATAATAAAAAAAAACCCTACTATTCTTGAAACATGTATTCTGATTTGTGTTGCGTGTCATTTCCTGTAATTTGTACAAACTTAACTTTTTTGTCAGTATTACAAATAAACCTGTTGAAATCAAACACAAACGAGTTCAGCGGTTTGTTGTCTTCTGCAGAAATACATTGAAGTTTTAAACCTATTGGAATCTGATTTGTGAGGTAAGAATCTGAAATCAATAATGCATCCAGTTGAAGGTAAAGGGTTTTGGCTGTGTGTGTTTTTCTGTTAGTAAAATATGATTTACAGGGTACATTTTAATAAAACTTTCAGAAAATAATCACATGAACAGCTGATCATCTTTTGGAAACAACCCAAATCCATGACAGTTATGGTGTTTCTTGTAATGTATTTATTCTACCACTGGGTGGCGCCATAATACAAATCACTACAGATTTAGTCATTTGTTGAAATGATTGACATGGTAAAAAAAAAGGGCATAATAATTTTGCAGGCATTTTGACAAAGTGTATTTTTTTTAATAACACTACACTGTTCAATACAGAACAGTATGTCATAATCACAACAGGTTTATTCACACTGACATACTTTTACTGTTTTGCAAGACATCTGATAAAAAAAAAAAAGCTTTCTGTTTACCTTTAGTAGTTGCTGACTGCATATATTATACACTATTAGGGATCTTTGGAAATGCAAAGAGCTCCATCTGCCTACGCTTTGAGGAAACACTTAACAGCTGGAAACCTGGAACCAGACATTCAGATTTTATGTAAAAAAATAAATAAAATGATCACGATCTACATGAATCAAAGAAGACGAGTTGATGTGGTTTAGAGGAATTAAACTTCTTATTGGCTTCTCTGTGAAGGGAAAAAAATGGACAAGGCTTCAAAGAAATGTGAAGATCATCAAGAAAAACATCGATTTTGAGGTTTGTGTATTATATTCTCCACAATTCCCTGTATCGCATTATTAGTTTTATTAGATGTCAATCCATGTCCAGCTCTGTAAAAATAACCTGGATAAGCTGATGACAGTTGCACTCATCTGATGGCCTGGATTTAAGAACATGCACACTCAACTCCACGTCCACACATGAAGCAGATCAACTGCTGTTTGATTGTTTTACCACTAGATGGTGACAGCAACCCATTTTTTTTTTATCATTGAGTATTAAAAAAAAAACTACCTCTGTAGTTTGTAATTTTAGGCAATCTCAAGGTGGCTGCATGTTGGAGTAGCTCTCACATTCATTCTGACATTTTGCTTTTGAAAACTTTAATTACTCTTTTTTTCTGGATGTAAATCACTTTTTCGAATGAGTACTTCCTCTGGTATCAGATGGTGCGCCAATGGAAGGACTTTTAATGAAACCTTTTTTTTTTTTACTTTTGGACATTTGTTATAATGTGTAACCATAACAACAAGGTCGTTTTCTGCAACTTTGAGCTCAAAAGCTCAAATAATACCTCAACTACAGCCCCAAATCCCAATGAGTTGAAAAGGAGGTGCCGTGGATGCATTCCCATTCTACCTGGAAGCGGTGCTCGAGTGCCTGACTGCTGAGATCTTGGAGCTAGCAGGAAACACAGCTCGTGATAGCAGGAGAACTGAGATTGTACCTCGACACCTGCAGTTAAGTCCGCGGCGACGAGGGGCGCGGTAGGATGCTGGGTGAAATGGGGGAGGAGTTCTACTCGACATTCAGACAGTCCTGCTGCCCAAGAGGTCTGTTGGGTCTGAATGGATTGGCATCTGCAGCCAGTTTCTCAAGATCCGCTGTGGGACGGACTACAAGAGATCTTTCCTACCCAAAGCCACCAGCAACTATAACAACTCCAGGATGATGAGCTACAACAATTGATTTCCCTTTGGGATTAATAAAGTATTTTTGAACTGAATTGATTCATTTGGTCATAAAATACATTATGTTTCCTTGTTCTGTGTTCTGTTTATGCAACACTCAGGCTTCCCATCAGAAGTTGGCTCATCAGTCCATTCAAATGGATTTCTGGTTTTGACTTAATGAAGTCTGAAGGTTCATACATGAGACTAAGGAGATACGGCTGACGGGTTTGAAATATTCAAAGGAACAGGGTGCAGATTAATTGTGAAATGGTTTCTGGATGTTTGTTTATCAGGTTTTAAGGAAACATGATAAAGTGATAGTATCCAAGGTGCAGCGTTCCTTCATAATGTTCCTTTGAAACATTAAAGTTACATGAAGTCATTTAATACATTCTGACATATTTTAAGATAGACGTCCTGTCTTCTTTTCTTTTCAGTTTGTTGCCAACAAACAACATTAACAGCTTTCAGTTTTAATCCATACTGTGGAATTGTTTGTATGCCTCATCCAGCTTATGTTTTAACTCAACTTGCTTCTTAACAACCCGATAAGATCCTCCTATAGTCCACTCTCTGTCATCAGTGTGCGCATGTATTTGTACAAGCAGTTAGGACAGCTGAACATGCAGACAGAGGTTCAAATGGTTTTTCTGGTTAAAAAGGTTCTTCCTAACTTTATCAGTCCTGACACAAAGAGAAAGCAGCGAGCCTGGTAAAAGTCCCTGAGCACAGAGATAACATATTGAGGATGTCAAGAAAACTCTGGAGGCCGATAATGGTCTCACTGCTCCATTTGAAATGTAGTTAACCTCAAAGGTTATATATCACTGCGAGGGTCGCAGAGGGGCGCTTAGTATTTACTACAGGACATGCAGGACAGAAGAGAGGAAATTGGTAGAAAAGCACCCTTATCACAATCCTCTGGGTGCTGTGATGGCTGCATACATACATCAACAGCGTTCCACTGCTTGACAAAGGCTGGTGGAGTTTATCTGTGCGCCTGACTCTCTTCAGATGGTTCAACAGATTCACGGACATTTATCAGTTGTTCGGCCAAGTGTTGTCATCAAATCTCAGGAGCACGCTGTGTGGAAATCCTTCTGGAAGGGCAGTGACGCCGTCAGAAGAACCCGCAGCCCTCCTTTCTTCCTCCTCTTTAGGTTTGTTGCCCTGTTTCCTTCGGAGCGTTCGTCTCCCAGAACAAACGTCAGCGTCTTCAGATGTCGATAAATGATAGAGCGACTGGGCAGAGCCGCTTTATTCAGAGCCGATTTCATCACGCCCATAAATCTCAGGGAAATCAAAGGCCTTCTCATGCTCTCCCCTCCTCTCAGCCTTTGTCTTGTTAATTCACATTAGAGCGCGGCTGGCTGCTCTCTTTGACAGCAGTCGGCACAGTCTGGGCAAAGTTGCACATGTGGAACCTGAAGGCACCTTTGACCCGTGACCCCCCGCCGATGCTCGCCGCCATGCACAGGAATCTCGCTGCACCGATAAAAGGGCACAGATGTGCAGGGAATGACTGACAGCTGCAAACGAACCAAATATTAGCTCAGTATCTCTAAAATGGTGAGTTTTGTCTTTTCACATTTGATCTGATTCCCACACAGAGCAGACTCGTTAGCACAAATGCTGCACCGACTGTATGCAAACACCTACTCACATGCTCAGCGCTTACCTGAAAGCACACTTACACATAGCATAAATGCATTTAATCCACGTCAGCCATTATCCGTGCTCTTTATAGCCTTGTTTTCTGCAGCAGTCAGCAACAGAGGCAACACTTCACATGTTCGGTGACACTTCAGATTAAAGGTAAAATCCAAACAGCGCCAGGACACGTATTCACTCTTCAAAAAGTGACCCAGAATAATATTTGATTCAAGGCATTGCTTCTGTAACTCGAGGCTTAATTAAAAGTGGGGACTGTTAATAATTCAGTGCCTGCAGCTAGACCCAACCTGTCTTAATCGCTGAGCAGGAAGAGCGGTGCTTGCGTGGAAATAAAGGAGACAAAAATCAATTATTAAATCCTACTTTTGCGCACGTTAAAACTGGCAACATTTGATGCCTCCACATGGAGTTTCTCTTTCTTTTGAAAGCTGCATGGCTACTAGCGCCCAACAGAAAGCTTCTAATTCTGCAGCGGTGGTTAACAAGAGCCTGTGCGCTGGTGTGACGAGGTTACCGAGGCAAACATTTCTCGTTTAATTATAAAACACCGAGTTGGAGAGACCCGCGTTGCTCTCAGGCCCGAGCTGAGCTGCTCTAAATTAGAGAGCAGTGTGCGAAGATGCTCCGCTGCAGAGATACGGTGGTTACATTTGATCCATTTATGTGCTTCAAATGCATCTCCCGCTTTTAAGCCGGCGATGAAAACACGGCGATAATTTGAGAGCTTGTGAGAGCTCGCACATGTGAGGATAATTACAAACAAAGTGACACAGAAACGACTTCTTGAAATGTCGGCGCAGTCGAGAGCCAGAAGATTCGGATGAATGGACGATCGTCACCAAATGAAGCCGGTGAACGTTTGTCCGTGGAAGTGCGCCTTTGCTGTGACATGAGTCTTTAAGTGAGAGCCAGGAGGCTGAAACCAGATTCAGATGGTGACAGTATGAAAAGAATCAGTTCAGCTTGAAGTGGTGTCTGCTCGACTCGGTCTGGTGTTCATCAGTTGTTCATTTTGGAACTCGAAGAGATCAAACTGAATTCAGATTATAACTAGGGATGCACAATATTGGATTTTTGGACGATATGTTAAAACTTATTTGGCTGATAACCGATACCAATACCGATATTTTCTCCCTAGACCTACTTACAGAGACTACATAGCCACATAGCTTTGGAATTAAAACACTACATTATTCTGCATGGTCTTTGTCAATTTGGACTGCTACCAAATGCAGAAGTCAAAAAGAGGCTGAAAATGATGTAACACTTCAACTTAGATTATTATTATTATTATTACTATTAGACCCATATTTATACAGGTTAGTTCCCATCGAGCCTCGAAGACTCATTTACAACAGTTACATACAACATACAGGTTTTATCTTTATTATTATTAGAATGGTTTATGTTTAATGTCAAATTTATTCATGACATTTACTCTCTTACACAATGACAACACTCGTACTGTGCAAATTTGCAAATTTTACAAATCTAAACTCAACGGTGCGCGTGATGTCATAACGTTGTGCTGGCGTTGCCGGCATCCTTGTCACTGGGTGTCATACAAAAACAGCACCTTACATATATATTTATA